TTTCTCAACTTTTTATAAGCTGGCCCCAATCTATGTTTCCTGCTATGTATATCTCTACTCCCAGTCCCCTCATGCCCACATCTAGGCTGTGTGACTCACCCCTATCAAACAGCCCATGCTCTTTCACAACTTCCTTTTATGAACGCCATTCCCTCTGTCTGGGATGAGTTTCTTGTCCCGACAAAGGCCAATCTCCTATCACCTCCCATACGCCTCCATATTTCCTTCAGATAGAATTCACTGTTCTGACATTTTTGCTAACAGAACATTTTTGTACATAATTCTTAGATAAACATTTATGCTTTGTTGCAGTCATTTTTTCATTAACTGTCTCTCCTATGTGAATATGAGTTCCTCAAAAACAAGCATCTTGATATTTTTGCTTATTACCTTAGTAAAGTACCAAATACATAGTAGATGTTCAATAAATATTTGCATGAAAGAACAAGTGTATTTCCTCTGAGATCTGAGCTGACCGGAAATTTTCCTGTCATATACACTGATCTATTTAGTTACCACCACATTTCTTCCTAATTGGCATTATTTGTTTTTGTACTGTTAGAATTTCAGCTTTGAAATCTCCTATACTCCTCAGGCTGTCTTCTCTTTCACGGTTTCAAAATCATCTTTTTTCTGAACTTTTTGACTCCACACTAAGTCACGACAGATAGACTTTTGTGTATAAGAATTAAAAGTCCTCAGATACTAGTTGATAACAATTTCCTAACTCTTTAATGTGGATTCTGATTGATAACCATATGATAGCTGAGAATCTGCCCTTGGACTGAATTCTTCAGTTCCCTTCAATCATCTGGCATCCCAAATTCTCTACAAGCTCATCTGGTCTGATGTCCATATCTCAGTAATGCCACGTCAGCATTAGCACACAGATACACAGGAGAATGTTATCTGCCCATTTTGCAGATGGGAGAATTAGACCCAGAATGACCAAGGACACTACCTGATATAATTAAACAAGTGGATCCTGTCCCAAAAAGAAGGTCTAATAAGGCCTCTGCTCCCAAAACTGGTTTGTTTCCTTCCTTACATGCCTACATATTTGTGTTTTATTCCCCTAAGGGCTTTATAGAAATTTCTATCATTTGCAATCTGTTCTTCTTAGTTATATGAATCTATTTTCTCTTCAACCAGCACTTTTCTTTCCTTGACTTAAAAAGAGAAAATAAAGAACCAGCTTTACTAAAAACATGTTGCAGCTCTCCTACGCTTCAGTAAGTACAGAAGCTAAAATTGACTTACTTTACTGCATGTTATGTCATTCACCTAATGGTATAAGCTAAGAGAGTAACCTCTGATTTGAAAACTGTAAAGGCACATCTTAAGACTGGACAAACTTAAATCTGCTGTGAGGACAAGTCGTGGAATTTTTGTATTTGGTGTGTCCTTGGAAATTATCCACTTCCCTGGTAGCTCAGACGGTAAAGCATCTGCCTGCAATGAGGGAGACTTGGGTTCAGTCCCTGGGTCAGGAAGATCCCCTGGAGAAGGAGATGGCTACCCACTCAAGTACTTTTGCCTGGAAAATTCCATGGATTGAGGAGCCTGGTTGGCTACAGTCCATGGGTTCACAAAGAGCTGGACACGACTGAGCGACTTCACTTTCACTTGGAAATTATCCAGGCTAACCTTTTCTTCACTAAAGGCTGGCCCCTAATTGATCCACCTGCTGGATCCACCGTTCTGAAAACTGAAACTCAGAAAGGCCAAGTGACTTCTCTGGGGTAATTGAGGATTATAAACCAGGACAAGAGCAGAACTCAACACTTCTGACTCCTTACCCAGTCAGTGTCCTTTCTACTTTTGGCTGTTTCAAGCATGGAGACCATACCTTGTTATGACCATGTTTAAACTCAAATGGTAATAGAATGATGGCATATGAAAGCGATTATTTAATCTGTGAAAGTTTCTCAGTCATCTCTGACTCTGTGCGACCCCATGGACTGCAGTCAGCCAGGCTCCTCTGTCCATGGAACTCTCCAGGCCAGAATGCTGGAGCTGTTCCCTTCTCCAGGGGATCTTCCCAACCCAGGGATTGAACCCATGTCTCCAGCATTGCAGGTGGATTCTTTACCAACTGAGCTACCAGGGAAGCCCATAAATATTAGACTGAGTTGCCACGCCCTCCTCCAGGGAATCTTCCCAACCCAGGGATCAAACCCAGGTCTCCCACATTACAGGCAGATTCTTTACCATCTGAGCCACCAGGGAAGCCCAGAATACTGGAGTAGGTAGCCTCTCCCTTCTCCAGAAGATTTTCCCAACCTAGGAAATGAACCCGGGTCTCCTGCATTGCGCATGGATTCGTTACCACCCGAGCTACCAGGGAAGTCCCTCTTCCTTATTTAATTTGTAAGAGAAAAGAAAGCCTGATATGTTTCACACCAGTCACCACTTTGAGTATGGAAAAATACATCGGTTTCTGAACACACTGATGTCTTCAGATCTATTACCAAAGAGTAAGATTACTGAGGGTCTACCATATCCTAGGTGTTGGGAATAAGGAACACCATGGACCTAGTTGCCTGCCTTATGTAGCAAGCCCAGACAGGAAGATGGATACTATATCAATCATTATAAACAGTTAAGAATTAAAATAGGCAAAGAGATGAATGGACTGCTGTGGGAATATGTTACTGAGAACCCCAACCTGATTTGAGTCACCAAGGAGTATGTCCCTGAGACACTGATACTGAACCTGAAATCCAAAGGATATGTAAGGGTTCCAATGAGAGTGTTCCATCAGAGGGCATAGCATTAGGAAAATCGAGAGTGCATAGAATGCTGCATACTTGTGCTTAGAAAACTGAGTGATGTACCACAGGGCTAAGGCAAATGGAATTACAGGAGACAGAATTAGAGACACAAGTGTAATGTAAGCAGATCACCCAGAGATGTGTAGATCATGTTAAGGACTTGGGAATCCATTAAGGCATTTTAAGCAGGGCAAACTGTGATCAGATACAAATTTTTAAAAGATCATTCCAGTATTATTGGGATAATGGGTTAAATGCAAAGCATGTAGACAGACCAGGCAGGAAGCGAACACCCAGGCCAGGTGAAGCATGCATACAGTCTGTACCCTAGACCTCCCAGGGTAATTCAGTGGTACTCTCTATTCAAATGACATATCTTGTGTGTCTTCTTTGTCTTTTCTGATGAAAAGCAACCCAGTTAGTCAACACTGCTCTTAATAAACACAATTTTCAAAGAAGACAGCAGCCACCCAACAGATATTTTAAAACTATTATTTTTCTGTAGGACATGTTTTTTTGTTGCATTGGGGTTGTAATTTTAATTGTATTGGGGCCAACTGCAATCAATATCATTGTAAAGAGCTTCAATTTAGATGATACGTTTTCAGTGCAAATAACTTGAGTGAGCCATCAACTCAACTATCAAAGTAACAGTAAAGTGCCATCTATCACGTTTGTTTTGATTGCACTCTATGTTAACTTTTTACCTATGATTTTGGTATAAGTTAGGTAGTATAAATGGATGGAATACATAAAATCAAGCATTGACTTCATGACAGGATTAAACACTATTCTGTCAAATCATTTTGAGGATTGCTGCAATAATCAGATATCATAAATTACACAAACTTTTGGGAAAAATTTACCTGAAGTAATTTCAGGTTTTCAAAAATAATTGTTTTCACATAAATAAGCTATGTTATTTTCTTATGGAAACCAAAGTGTTGTATGCATCACCTTGTGTGATATAAGACCTAACTATAACATATAGATGAGTGCAACTATGTATTATTTCTCTTTTTGACAACCTGAATTATCTTTTGGGTATTACTCCGAATGATAAATCAAGTGATTTAAAAGCAGAGCTCAAAATTGGAAAATTGAACTTGTAAGTGCTTTTATCTTAAGTAGATGTATGTTCATGCACCTTGAAGAGTAAGTGCTCTAGCTTTGAGCTAACTTTATGACAATAGGCTCTTCAGTGAGTGACTTTAGACTAATAGAATATGCAGGTCCTGGGAATGGGGGTTAAGTATGAATCATTATTCATCATGAAAGCCCAACTCAGCATATATGTAAACTGTTTTACTCTGACAAACAGCATAATACATTCAACTGTCATTGAATAATTTTAAGTTTGCTTGGAAGAAAAACTAGTAATTTATTTTTAAGCACTATTTTTATATATTATCTTATTTTTTTTTCAACTTTTCCTTTTTATTTAAAAGAGAAATGGCTTCTGCTAAGACAACATGGAAAATTCATTTTTCTCCCAAGCGGCCTAAGTGAAGTGAAAGTCGCTTAGTCGTGTCCGATTCTTTGCTACCCCACTACTATACAGTCCATGGAATTCTCCAGGCCAAAATACTGGAGTGGGTACCCTTCCCCTTCTGCAGGGGATCTTCCCAACCCAGGGATCAAACCCAGGTCTCCTGCATTGCAGGCGGATTCTTTAGCAGCTGAGCCACAAGGGAAGCCCAAGAATACTGGAGTGGGTAGCCTATTCCTTCTCCAGGGGACCTTCCTGACCCAGGAATTGAACCAGGGTCTCTTGCGTTGCAGGCAGATTCTTTACTAACTGAGCTATCAGACAAGTGGCCTAAGGGGCATACTAATTAATGCAGAATCACTGGTTTTGAGGGGGGTAGATTTTGTTTCATTCTTCTTTTAGATAATGGAATAATTTTTTTTACCAATTATTTCTTTCTGAAATCTCTGGTTTCACTGACCATTAAAGACAGCAGGTAATGATACTCCCAAGTTCCATTTTCCAACATATAGGACCTAGTGGTACATTGCTGCATGTTTTCTTCATGTTCCTAAAACAAAGAATGCTGAAATGAAAATCAAAAGGGGACTTTTATATTTAACTGTATCTGTCACTGCCAGGTCTGTTCCAACCTTGGACCTGTATATGCCGTTTACTTTTAAATTCCTTACCATTTTCCTATATGTACAAAACCTGGGAAAACAACAAACATTGTTGTATCTGTTTATTTCTTCCAGGTTGGACGAATTGAAGATTTTCTATACCAATTAGAGGATAGTTTCTTAAAAACTAAAAAACTGAGAACTGCTCGAAGGCAAAAAAGAAAAATGAAGCGGCTTCAAACTGTACAGCAAAGCTAATCACTGGGGAGCAGGCGCCACCACAGAGAGACATCCCAGAGAAAATGGCCGTGGCATCCCACCAGCCTGACTGTGACAGCCGGCGTCAAAGGCCTAACGCCAAAAGGATGAGGTGGTGCTCCTCTTGGCAAAGATATTCCACACTTCATTAATCTCAACTGGCAGCAATAAATGTTCTCAGCAAGTTTCGCCTGACTCTTGTTCAAATTCATCTTGGTTAAATAGCTTATCAAATAACTATTGCTGCCTCTCTCACCTGTCTTGTCCTTTCAGCACTGACTAAAGCGCACCAGGTCTACCCAAGTACATTTTAGTATATGTGCATGTTCATTACCCATCAGTCACATATCAGTCAGACATGGACACATCAGTCAGGTATGGACAGATGATATAAATGCAGAAGTTAAGAATTACAAAACTGATAATATACTTTCTTGATTTTTATAGAGATTGCCAAGATAGTATGGCTGGTATCAGTTATATCATTAAAATCTGTATTTTTTCCCTCAGGATCCTTCATATCCCCTTGGCCCTTAAATCACTCCACACAAATGCACATGTTTGACAAAGTAACCAGTCAAGAACCATTCCTGAAGACCTCAATTAACACCAGGAAGGAGGCATGAAAATAGAGTAAGAAGGTGGAACCCAGACACAGAGTCAAATAAATAAGAAAATGTAAATTTTAAAAATAATGGAGTAAATGAATAATATCTCAGAGTACAATAATAACATGAAAAGGGGAAAGGGTAATAAAATACTTAGTGCTGAATTTTTCATTATATGGTGAGATTGTAAAGAAATCAATAACTCAGCCTTAAGTGTATGTTAGATTTGTATAGTCATAATTATGTGAGATATAAATATTTGGAAAGTTTGAAACAAATTAGGACCTTGATTTCCCTGTAGACCATTTGCTTCACTCTTACTTACCTTTAACAAAGAGTTTTTCTCTTTTCTACCCCACTCCACCCAGAGATTATCAGCATTGCCATCACATTCCCTCAGGTTAGTCATTCATAGTAGTCAGTTAAAGATAGGGGTATTTAAGAAACTCCTTTTGGATTCTAGACTCAGACCAGCACAGCATCTCAGTTCTATTCTTGTAAGTAGCAGGAAATCATTTCTTTCCATGGGCACTTGAGTCTATAGCCAGATGTGGGAGTCTAAGACACATGGCTCAGCCTCCCATTCAGCCAATTCTGCTGTTATCTCCCTTGATCACATTCCAGGAATTTCCTTTTATCAAAAAAATATGATACATATATACATACATACACACACACATACACACACACACACACACATATATAGGCTTCCCTGGTGGCTCAGTGGTAAAGAATCCACCTGCCAATGCAGGAGATGCAGGAAACAGGGGTTCAGCCCCTGGGTCAGGAAGATTCCCTGAAGAAGGAAATGGCAACCCACTCCAGTATTCCTGCCTGGGAAATCCCATGAACAGAGGAGCCTGGTAGGTTACAGTCCATGGGGTCACAAAAGAGTCAGACACAACTAAAGAGCAAAACAATATATATCTATATACACACACACACACACACATACATATCTTTACAACATCTCTAGGAGATAAAGCTTGCTGAGCTTTGAATTTTAACTTCAGTGTTAGGATTTTATTCTCTCAAAGAATGTCTATATTCTCTAACAGTTTTTTGTTTTGTTTTTCATTGACTCAAAATCTTAGCATTGCCTATTCTGAAAGGCCTATTGATATTCTCATTCTGTAGCTGTTCAATTGCTTTACCTTTGTTCTTCAAAAATTAGTGTTCTCTCATTCCTCAGTGCTGAAAGATTATATTTGAAAATAATACAGTTACAATTATTAGATTATGACCACTCTCTGACCACTTCCCCCAAATCCAATACTAAATATATATTGGTTGTTTTTGGCTCGGACTTGAGTAGGGAAACAAAGGCAGTTCTAGTTGGTCTTAGAAAAGATGATTTAAAATGGAAATCAAAAAAATTCAAAAGAAACATTTTTTGAGAAAAAAATTAATCAACACACATGGCTCCTCAAAAGGTATCAAATCTTTAGGATTTACAATACATATAATAGCAAAGTCCACAGGAATGAATTTTGCATATGGTTTCAATATTAATGTCAAGAGCCTTGAATAGCAATAATGCAGTGTAATTTACAGAACTTGGCCTCCCATTCCTTGTTTTTGTCTGCAGATGAAGGATCTGTAAAGCAGTATGGTATTAATTTAAAAATTAATACCAGAGAAAGCAAAGTTTAAAAAGTGCTTTCAGAATGCTAATTTTATATCAACTTCATAAGAATTTCACTGTGTATGCATTTTCTCCTTTCATAATTGAGGAAACCAACCCAAAGAGGTTAATGCCTTGCTTGATTCCAAAGACCTGTTTTGTTCCACACTTGCTATTTGAAATGTGGTCCATTGACCAGCAGCACCAGGAAATTCATGAGGAATGCAGAATTTTAAATTCATCCCCCAATCTACTCTATTAAAATCTGCATTTTAACAAGCTCTCTGAGTACTTTATATACGCCCAACAAAGTTTGAGAGTTGCTCTTTTACCATATTGGAAAATATTTTCCTGTCAGTTCAAAGTTAACATGACACAGAACGTGATGATGTAGCTACTCTTAGATTTTGACCCTCAAATATTTCCTAATATAATCATTTCTGCAAAGCTTTATACACCAAAAGAACCAAAAAGTTATAGTTCAGTAATAAGAGGATATGTATTCTTTCTCTACCATTTTACTCTAAGGTTTTATCCTGTAACATTTCAAAAACATGAAGTGAAACAAAAGAAATACATATTGGCTGAAAAGAAGTGGTATACACTTGACGATCAGACCAACTCAAATATTATTAACTGTGTAGCTAGTCCATGCTCTATATACATCAATGGTTTCCTGTGTCTTCTCCTATCATTTCTCCTATGTCCCTCCAACATTTGCTGACATGCATGTAGATGAGGAGCAGAACTCTGCTGATCTCTAGAGCTAGGGGCAACTTATCTTTCAAAATACCTCAACAGATTCTTCCCAGCTTGTCAACATTAGGGTGATTAATTCTGTCCATAGGATGTATTGGGGAGATTGCCGCTGCATATTCTTCTATAAGAAATAGCTCAGAAGTCCCATCACCAAAAGGAAAAACCCCAAAGAAGGCCACTTATGATCACATGAAAATCCTCTGTATTCTGACCCTCATCTTCCTTAATGTCAAGTACCTGATCATTCTCAACCATCCCTTCATCATCCTTCAGGGCATTTTGGTATTGTTTGTATGTGTAGGGGTTCAGAATATATAACCCTGAAATATGCTACATTGGCGTGTTTATTATTTTGAATTAAAGGTACTCGAGAAACTGCCAAATGTAAGAAGAACATTCTGAACTTCCTTTGTTCTCCCGAAAGTAAGAAATAAATCTCCCATATATGAAAAATACACTCTCTGTACCAGGAGGTAAAAGACATCCTGATCTCCAGAGTCAGAAATCAGGTCCAAGAAGGCAGTATTAAACAAACCTTGTTACTTCACCATTTACTAACCCCAGCCCAAACCCTTCTGTCTTGTCAATTCTAAACAAATTTATTGTTCTTTGCCTAAAAGGTATAAAAGCTTCCTGCTTTGGTCACTTCTTTGAGTCTCATTATTTTGTGAGACTCCAGCATGCACAGATGTAAGTTAAATTTGTTTTTCTCCTGCTAACCTTTTTATTACAGGTGGACCTGAGTCAATAATGTAGAAGAGAAGAAGGCAGTTATTTTTCCTCCCCTATAGATGTTTTCCTCAGCTTTTCTGTTCAAACTTTTCAAACCTAGGGAAAGTGGTGAGAATAGTACAATGTATGCTCAGCCATAAAAAGGAACAAAATTGTGCTATTTGCAGAGACATGGATGGACCTTAAGATTGTCATACAGAATGAGGTAAGTCAGAAAGGAAAACAAATATCATATAATGTTTATATGTGGCATCTAGAAAAATGGTACAGATGAAATAAGAGTCACAGATGTAAAGAACAAACGTATAGCTACCAAGCTGGGGAGGGGTGGGATGAATTGGCAGGTTGGGCTTTATACTATGTATAAAATAGATAACTAATGAGAACCTATTCTATAGCACAGGGAACTCATTGATCTGTGGTGATCTAAATGGGAAGGAAATCTAAAAAAGAGTGGATTTATGTACACGTATAACTGATTCACTTTGCTGCATAGCAGAAAGCAACACAACATTGTAAAGCAACTATACACCAATAAAAAATTTAAAAAGAATAGTACAATATAACATACACCCTTCACATAGATTTCCCCAATTATTAACATTTTGCCTCAGTGTGCATTCTCTGTGCTCTTCTTCCTCTCCCTCCTTCCCTTCAAGTAAAATACACTCCGCAGAAAAACCAAATTGTTTCTTTTAATAGAATTACCTTATTGTGAATACACTATGCTAATTCCCCCATGCGCAGATCTACACTTGTTCTCTGCATCAAATTAACCAAGTTTAGCAGAGCTACTTATGAAGTGCTGGGGGAAGGGCTATGGACAGCACACACCAATCAGTCCCTGTCCTCCTCCTCACTGCCAGTCTTTCTGGAGCATTGCTTTGATGACCAGGACAGCATTAAGCAGGGGCAGGGTTCTTGAAGAAGGAAAAGTAAGTCACAAATGCTGTTTGTTACTTGCTAACAAAGTGTTAGTCGCTCAGTCATGTCAGACTCTTTGAGAACCCATGGACTGTAGCCCACCAGGCTCCTCTGTCCCTGGGATCTCCCAGGCAAGAATACTGGAGTGGGTTGCCATTTCCTTCTCCAGGGGATCTTCCCAACCCAAGGATCAAACCTGGTTCTCCTGCATTACAGGCAGATTCTATACTATCTGAGCCACCAGTGAAACCCAAGGTACAGCCTCCGAACTGGTAATTCATACTTTTTTATATCTTCAAGAGTGGACAATCTTTACTTGTTGAAATCAGATGTTGCAGTTTTTGAAAACAGCC